GCTTGCGCGTGCCCGTGAGGGGCTTCCCTCCCCCACCCCACCCCCACCCCGATCACTACCCTGGTCTTGGGGGGGTATCTTCTCCCCTTCCGTGATTAGCCCTTCTCTCCATCCCGCACTTCCCGCCCTCCTGCCTTCCTTTTCGCCCCTCCACCCAGTTTCCCCCGACCGAGGCCGACTGCCACTCTAGGGTAGTGTTTCCGGGTCAGTGTGACCTTTGGGGTGATGGAACCGCGACCCGGAGCGGGCCCCGGGCGTGTAGCTCTTACCATGCCGCGCTTAAGCGTGGGAGACCGGCCTGCGGAGCGCCTGCCGGGAAACCCTCGAGTCCCCAGATCCGCTCCCCACAGGGAAATTTGCCCGTTCTCCCTGCCCCTCTTCTACTGGCCTTGCTCCTTCTCAGGCAGATTTTTCCACAATCCGAATCCCAGCCCACCCGGCACCCACTTGGAACAATTTAGAGCGTTTCACAAAACGCTGTGCTCATGGCGTCCGATTGTGTAACCTGAAAACGCCCCTGTCGTTTTTCTCATCTGTACAGTGGGTATGATTTTTTTTTTCCATCAGCCAGTTTCAGGTGGGTAATCTGAAGTTAAAGCATTTTAGTTATGAAGCTCTTCTTTTTGAGTCTTTCAGGGGACTTTTCTTTGCCTTTGTAAGAGCTTCAGTGGTGTCACGTATTTGAGGGCCTTTGAGTTGCCAGCCATGGTCCAGTGTTCACTTTTCGCCCCACTTTTTCTCTTACACTCTACTTCTAATTCCCTATCTCTTGCCGCTGCCGAACTTCGGTTTTTCAGATTTACGTAATTTCAGGTAGACTTTGTTTTTGGAGCCTTCCAATATTCCTTAATCTACTTAAGAGAGTTACAAACTTAAGTTTAGGGCTGTTCTGTACAGTACTAGATCACATGGTGTTTCAAATTTTGGTATTAAAAAATACAAAAATACAGTTTTAGAAATAGAGCCGTTGATGACTCGTTTAGTGTGTACCAGCATAGATGGTAGCTTGATTTATTTAACGAATATAGTAACTCTGCTGAAAAGATCTCACCAGCAGTTTGCAAGGAATTACAGGGAGGAAAGACATTTAATCTTTCAGTTTCTAATGCAGCATTCTTTTTTTAAATTGTAGGTGAATCTTTTTCACTTGACACAGCGAAGCTTTCATTCCTAGTGGTTTTCTGGAGATGTTAGTCTAAAACCCCTGAGAGTAAGTTGCTTCGTGGTTCTGAACTTTATTCTGCTATATCAAGTTTTGTTATTTTTCTTGTAATTTTAAGGGAATTTTAATTTTACAATTACATTATATTAGCATTTCTCAGTTCTGGAAAGCAATCAAAAAGTAAGGTAGCTGAAGATACATACCCCTCAAATTGGTGATCTAGAGAGCATTTCAAAAATCAACTGAGGCAATGACTATAAAATTAAAGATTTCTTAAATGGGGTATGGTACGGGAAGAGCCTGGGCTTTGAGGTCAGTCTCTAAATTCTGGGTGAATGAATCTGAACTTCACTAACAGATGAAATCAGGGTCATCTGTTAAATAAGAGTAATGAAACTCACCTCTTGTTTTTGTCCTTAGGATTACAGTGAGGCTATAGAGCATACATCCTCTAGAACAATATTAAATGCTCATAGAATGATAATTTCCCTTCATTCAACAAATATTTGTGTACCTAGCATGTGCTTGGCATTGGCTAAGACCTAGGAATACTGAACTGAGCAAGACTGATGGGAACACTCTCTCCCTAGTCCTTCCCGTAGTCACTAGCTTGTGACCGTTAAGCAGCGGGCACAAAGTTTCTCTGTACTGGGTCAGTAGTGTTTCCCTTCACTCAGGGTAGTATCTGTTGCATAAGCATAATAGGTGCTAAATATATATATATATATATATATTTCATTGCATTAAATTGGAACATTAAAGTAAGTATGGGTCTCAAAGAATATTCCTGCCTGTAAGTCACTGTAATTGATAAAATTAAAAGTGTTGCATCTTGATAGTTAACTTGATTGCATTTTCCCCGTTTTGGTTCAGCTAGTTGTAAAATTTCTCTTGGATCCATCACTGAATTACTGAGAATGTTTATTGTTTATGAGGTATTCTTGGCTTTTGAATTAAATAGAGCTAGATTGAATTTAGATCATTGGCTGTACTATCATTAGCTGTGCGATCATGGAAAATGAGAGTAATAATATATACTGCGTAAGGTGGTTTTATGGGTTAAAATAAGATAATATGTAGATAGTACTTGGTACATAGTAGCTGGTCAATGAATATTAGTTTCCCTCTTCCTTATCACAAAAGCAAATTTTCCACAGAATAAGGATATTCTTAATTGTGAAGGAGAGAATTCTAGTCTAGTGTTAATAATAGTCCCACTTTCTAATTTACTGTTGGAACAAAAGTCTAAATTTTATTCCCAGTTATCATTGAAGTCATTCAGGTTGATAAATACTTATTGAACAATGACACATAGCATTATTTGTGGCAAGGTGATGACCACTGTTAACTAAGGCTCTCTATGAAATTTATTCTCATCTCTTAATTTATATATTTCCTGAGACCCACTCTGCTTCATAGTCTTTAAATGCTTTTGCCCTTTAAAACGTCCTGATAGAGTATCTCCTCAGCTCTGTCCCCTTTTCCCTCTAGTGTCACATGCTCTGCAGTCTCTCTTCTAGTTATCTTTTTTTTTAATTTTTCTGAAATTTTAAGCTAAATCTTCATTTAGGGAAGTTTGCTCTGTTTGGTTGAGTTTTATTCTTGACAGTCAGCTTTAAAATGAAGCTTTTATTCATCATCGTAATTGTTCAGATCATTCTACTCATAATGAAACAGTCATACCTTTCAGGTCTTATTTTGCAAATGGTAACTGGACATACTAGGTAAGATCCTCATGGGAAGGATTATGCAGGATGGATAAGGTATAGAGAAATAACTAAGTACAAAGCAGAAAATAAAAGTGCAGTCAGAAGAATACTGGAATTAAGACTTTGCAGTAGTTCAGCAAGAAGTAATAAAGGCTTATGCTAGGGAGATGGCAGTGGAAATAGGGAAGAATATGGATGGGCAGTATTAGGAAATGGAGTAAAGTCTTTTTGGCAGTTTGCAGGTTAGGAGAAAGGAGGAGTCAGAGTTGTTGCATTTTTTGAATCCTAGTAAACCACTGATTGGGGATGTTTTTGACAGAAGCATTTAAGTTGCTTGAAGAGTGAAATTCTTAATATTTTCTTGGTTCAATTTCTTTGAGTCGCAGTTCTTTCCCTCCTCTCAGTAGGCCAGCTCCAGATACAGACGTTCAGAAACCGTTCAGCTCATGTGGCGGTACAGCCTGCACGTGACAAAATGCACCATCACTGCTAAGGGAGCCTTTGGAACTCTGTCACTGTAAAGAGTCTACTTCCTCTTTCTACTCTCTAATCTTAGACGTAGACAATGTATAGCCCTTCTTTAGAAGGGATTGCCTTGCTTTAGTAGTGGCTATACAGAGCAGTCAGGTACTGCAAGAGTTAACTGTGTTTTCCTTGCTTCCTGGTTTTGTTTTGTTTTGAATTTTTATATTAAGGTGTAACACACAGGCAGTATACATAGGAAAGTATGCTGGTATTGCTACCACTCAGATTGAGATGTAGATCTTAGTTCCTTGATGCTTCCATACCATCCCCCCACCAGAGGTGATCACTGTTTTTTAGTGTTTAATTTTTAACCTACTCAATATAATGTCTTACTAGTTGATAACACTATTACGTGCTGTTTTCAAGACTCTAGGAGGTTATTGCGCATGTCTGATAAAAACAAAACAGTGCTCTCTGCTTTAATCCACATGAAATACATTTTAAAACAGTACATTATTAGTAGTACAGTGATGGTATATTTATCCAGGGAGATTTGAATCTTTGTTATATTTATAAATTTTATTGTTTATCTTATACCCATATGATAGAATTTTTAAAAAGTCAACATTTCAGTTTTGAATAGATGGAACATACAGCTGTCCTTTTAATTTGGTTCCATGATAATTGTTACTTAAGTTATGTTTTATTTCCTTTTAAGTAAATATGTATAGAACTAAAGTCCAAATACACTTTTTTTTTTATTTTGGAAGAAATATCAAATAATGTTTTCCCCTTTTGTTTTATGGAATCACTCTACTCTAAATATTGGTATTAGTCAACTGTAACGATTGCTTGGAAAGTTGTTACTTAATGGACTGGGAGCAGGATGAGTTTTAGTTGTGTCTTTGTTGTTAGCTTCTTGCTTCACCTTGAGCAGAAAAGTTAACTTCAGTGTATCTTAGTTTGCTGGTTGAGAAAACTAACAAGTTGGATAATATATTGATACATTCAAACTACTCCAACATAGGAATCATATGATTCTAAATGCTTACTCAGTAATATTCTTCTGAAGAGTAAAAGGCAAGGGAAAGCTAAAACATAAAATTCCATCGTCAGAAACACCATTCCTCTGTGTCTGTATATGCCTGTAATATCCTGTGACTTGATTTAACATGTGATCTACTCTACCTCTCTACAGTGGAAAAATGACCATCTCTCATGAATTAACAAATTTTAGATTCCTTTTCCCTCTTGTATATTTATTTTGAAACTCTAAATGAGGAAACTGTGGTTATTTAATATTTTTAATTCTAACTTGTGCCAAAGTTCATAATATTTAAATTAGTGCTTGTTAGGATAATATATATAGTACATATATGGCACAGGTGATTAAATGTGTAAAGAAATATTTGGAAACAGTGACCATGTTTATTAAAAGGCTAGCAAAACCGTACCTGGTTTGTTTGTTTTTTTTTGAGAACTTTTTATCCTGTGGTTGCCATGACTTTAACTAGTTCCCAATTCCTTAGCATTTCTTTTATATAGAATCATATATTTTGATTTAATCAGATAGGCAGTATGTGTGTGTGATCTTTCAGGACTCAAGCATTAGAATCAGACTCCTTGGGTTCAAATTCCACTTCTGTAACTTACCATCTCTGTGTCTTCAGGCAGATTACTTAACCCCTCTGTGCCTTGGTTTCCCTGTCTGAAATAGGGATAAAGGAGTATTTGCCTTAAGTCCTCCATAGAGTTGTGTGCATTAAATGAGTTATTACATGTAAAGCATTAAGAGGAAAGCCTGTAATAGAGTAAGAGCTGTTATGGTACATTGAAATGCTGCTATGAAATAGAGTTCCAGTCCTAGAGAAATTCTATAATATGTGTCCTGTCACTAACTGACCTAGTTTCCTAATGGAAGTTGACTCTCCAGAAAGAGTTAATAAATAATCAATACAAGATAATGATATTAATGACTTCTTTTAAGATTCTAACCAGAATCTGAAACTTTCATAAACGATATATTGTTTAAAAAATATCTTATTAGATTAAAATTATCTTATTAGAGTAGATTGTTTTTACTAGATTTTTTAGCTACAGTTGACACACAATAAACTGCATGTATTTAAAATGTACAGTTTTATCAGTTTTGGTGAAACTGAAAACCACCTATAAAATCATCACCGCAATCAAAGTAGTAAGTATATCCAATACCTGCAGAAGTGTTTACTCATGCTCCTTTGTAATCCATCCTTCCCTATCCCAAGGCATCAGTGATATACTTTTTGTTACTATAGATTTGTTTGTCTTTCTTAGAGTTTTTTTTTAATAAATGGCATCATATATTATATATATATTTATATAGTTTCTTTCTTTCAGCATAATTATTTTGAGATATATCTATGCTATTGCTTGCAATAGTAGTTCATTCTTTCTTATTTCTGAATAGTATTCTGTTATGTGTATATACCATAATTTGTTTATCTGTTCACCTGTTGATGTGTATTTCAGTTGTTTCCAGTTTGGAGCTATTAAAAATAAAGCTGCTATTCAGATACAACCCATTTTTGTATGGGTGTATACTTTCATTTATCTTGGATAAATTCCTAGGAGTAGAATGGCTGGGTCATATGATACATGTTTGTTTAACTTTGTAAGAAACTACCAACTGTTTTCCAAAATGGCTGTGCCATTTTATATTCCCACCACCAGTGTATGAGTTATGGTTGCTCCACATCCTTGATAGTACTTGGTATTTTTAATTTGAACCATTCTAATATGTATGTAATGGTTTTTAAGTATTGTTTTAATTTGCATTTCTCTGATGATTAATGATGTTGACCATTGTTTCATGTACTTATTTACTATTGTATATCTTTTTTGGTGAAGGGTCTATTCAGACCTTTTGCCCAGTTTTTAAAATTGAGTTGTTATTTCTTACTGAGTTTTGAGAGGTTCTACTATATTCTAGATACAAGTCCTTTATCTGATTTACGCTTTGCAAAGATTTTCTCCCAATCTGTGGTTTGTTTTTTTATTCCCTTAACAGTGTTTCTGAGTTACAGAAGTTTTTAATTTTTATGAAGCCCAGTTTATCTTTTTAATTGATTGTGCTTTTGGTGTCATATCTAAAAAATCTGTGCCTAACTCAGGTCACAAAGATTTTGTTCAATTTTTTTTCTAGAAGTTTTGTGGTTTTAGGTCTTACATTTAGGTCTGTGATCCATTTTTGAGGACTTTTTGTAAATGGTGTGAAATACGGATTGAAGTTTTTTGGGTTTTGGTGGCTTTTGGGGGGCATATGGATATCTAGTTTTTCCAGCACTGTTTGTCAGAAAGACTATCCTTTCTGCATTGAACTGCCTTCATATCATCATCAAATTTGTTGCTCATGTTTTGTGAGTCTGTTTCTCTACCTTCTGTTCTGTTCTGTTGATCTGTTTATCAGTTCTGACTGCAGTACTGCACCGTTTTGATTACTGTAGCTTTATAACAAGTCTCACAATTAGGTAGTATTAGCTCTTCTACTTCATTCTTTTTCAACATTGTTTTGTCCATTATAGGTCCTTTGCATTTCTATATGAATTTTAGAGTTAACTTGTTAAACTTTAGAGAAGGAAGCCTGCTGAGATTTTGATTGGGATTTCATTGAATCTCTAGTTCAATTTAGGGAGATTTGATTTAACAGTATCAAGTTTTGAGCCCTGAAAGATCTTTTTAAGTTAATTAGGGTCTTTTAATTTCTCTCAGCAGTATTTTATAGTTTTCAGTAAGTATACAAGTCTTTTTATTAGATTTGTCCCTAAGCAGTTCATATTTTTGTACTCTTACAAATGTTTTTTAAATTTCAATTTGTGATTGTTTGTTGTTAACATATAAAAATGCAGTTGATTATAGATGCCATTGAATGTTCCTACATAGACAGATACAGTTTTACTTCTTCCTTGCAATGTGAATGCCTTTTGTTTCCTTTTCTTGCTTAATTGCATTTGCTAGAACCTCTGCTTCAGTGTTGAGTAGAAGTCATGAAAGCAGATGTTGTGTTGTTCATAATCTTAGGTGGAAAGTGTCCAGTTTTTCACCATTAAATCTCACGTTACTATAAGTTTTTCATAGATGTCTTTGGTCAGGCTGAGAAAGTTCCCTTCTATTGCTATGTGTTTATATTCATAAGATATTGGTCTCTATTTTTCTTTTCTGGTAATGTCTTTGGTCTGAATTAGTATCAGTGTAATCTGACCACAAAGAATAAGTTGGTAAATAATCCCTTCTTTTCAGTTTTCTGGCAGTTTGTATGGAATTGGTATTACTTCTTAAGCATTTGGTAGAATTCACTGGTGAAGCCATCTGGGCTTGGGGAATTTTTAACTACAAATTCAATTTCTTTAGTAAGTATAGAGATTTTCAGGCTAAATGTGTCTTCTTGCTGTCCTTTCATAACTTGTTTCTTTCAAGAAATTTGTCCATTTCATCTCATTTGTCAAATATAGGCATAAAGTAATATTTTCTCAATATCCTCTTAATATCTGCAGATTCTCTAGAAATGTCACCTCTCTTTTGTGACACTGGCATAATTCAGTTATTAGGGGCATATATGTTTTGGATTGTTTTGTGCTTTTGATTAACAGACCCCTTTATCATTTTTAAATGAACATTTTTATGCCTGCTAATAATTATTTTCCCTAAAATCTATTCTCTAACATTGAAATAGTCAATTAAGCTTTCTTTTGATTAGTGTTAGTATGGTATATTTTTCCCCCATCCTTTGCTTTTAACCTATGTGTTTTTATATTTAAAGTACATTTCTTATAGGCAGCATATAATGATGTATTTTCTTTTTTATCCAGTCTAACAATCTCTGGCTTTAAATTTGCATTTAGTGAGAGTATTGATCCAGTTAGTTTTAGTTCTTTTATCTTGCTATTTGTTGTCCCATCTCATATTTGTTCCCCTTTACCCTGTTTTCTTTCACCTTTTTTACTGAGTATTTGTATCTCCTTTGTTGGCTTATTAGCTATAACTGGACTTTAGCCCTTAGAGAATATGACTTAGTTGATTTACTGGGGTGGGCCCAATTATCTTTATGCCTTAAAATCTATGTGGACCACTGAACCAGATGACCTCGAGTTACTTCTAACTTATTAGCTATGTGTCCTTAAGTTACTTGACCTCTCTTAATTTAATTTCCTCATCTGTAAAATGAGTAGAATAAAATGTATATATCTAAAAGTTAAAAGTTTAAAAATATTTTGACTAGTACTAATTATGTTCATATGATTCAAACCTCAAAAGGTACAGAAGACTCAGTATGTACTGTTTTATACCTTTTTTGATTTTTCATTTTTTAATAGAAAACAAATTGTAAATAAATAAATTATAAATAGGTAATTTAAGTAAAATTACTTTAAAAAACCATTCTGAGAATATTTTGAATACATTTTTTCCCTCAACTATTGAAAACTTCAAAACCTTAGTTTTTTACACTTGATCTTAGCCATAAAGCTGAGAAGCGATTAAAAAAACCTTGGTTTCTTTAATTGTCAGTATGATTTACATTTTAGTTTTTAAATGTACTGTTTTATATTTGTGGTTTCTAAAGAAAAGTAAAAAAGTGTCTAATTTTCACAGTTCATAACAGAACTTTTCAGGTTCACTTCAAAACAGGAGTATAGCTAATGAAATCACCATAATGCATTTATTTTTGTGCTTTTTCCACAGGTTTTGATTCTTACCATGGCTATTACACAGTTTCGGTTATTTAAAGTTTGTACTTGCCTAGCAACAGTATTCTCATTCCTAAAGAGATTAATATGCAGGTAAACAAATTTTATGTTCACATTACCCTGTTTATCTTCTTGCTAATTTTGGATCCCTTCATAACTACAAAAAGGCATGACATACTATTTTTAAGCTAAATTTCTTGATTGCAGTATTCATTCATTAATCTCTAGTATTTTTAATATTTTTTCAGATTTTTATATATTTTATATATACTTTTATATATTTTTTCAGATCTAAGAAGTAGAGGTTCATTTCTTTTCATTCTTTAAAATTATTATGTCTTCCATTAAAATAACATTCTTAGTACTATATAATTTCAGAGATAAGCAAACCAACTTTGTTATTATAATCATCAGAAAGTTTTTATGTACATAATTGTTTCATTATCAGGATGTTTTAAAGTGGTTAGATGGAATTAGGCACAGGTATTTACATACTACATTATGAGTGTAATTTTTATATTTAAAAAAAAACTTTAACAGAGAAACCCCACAAAAAAAGATTTTTTTTCTTGTCTCTTAAATGACATTCCAGAATGTGCAGGTGGTCCATGGCAGGTAAGTCCTTCTGCTTCAGTTAAGTCATCCACAGACCTGAATTCTTTCTATTTTGTCATACTGCTGTACCCTAGAGCTACAGTTCCTTAGGCACTTCAGGGCTTCGCATTACACGCATGGGGTTGCCATAGGATATTTTAAATTTTGCAGTAAAATGCGGTGAATATAATAGTTAATGTCTGTTAAACACTGCACAGACTATTGGCTCTAAGTAATTCACATGTGCAACATTAGATCCTTCTGTATTACTTTTGATGATGTTCTTGAATGGTTGCGATAAGTTTTTGTTTACTTGTATTTTTGATGACCTATCTTTGTAAAGCTAGGATTTTATGTTATAATTAAAAGGAAGTACTGAACCAAAAGTAATATGGAACAGAAAATGAGGGTGATGGTATCCAGTCTGATTCCAAGGGTTAAGAAGCTGTGTGGTATCCAGCAGGTTCACACATTCCATTAGTAAGTAATTGTGGTTGTTAAAGAATGAAATCAAAATATTATTTTTCTTAAAATTCATATATATCTTTTTCTAGTGACTACTAAGCAGATAGGACGTATGTAAGTATTACATTGCTTGGGTCTGACTACTTAATCAGTGGAACTGTTAGTATCCCTAGGCCAAATTGCTGACTCACTAAGAGTAAGATAGGGTAAAAGAGGAAATGGAGGGCAATCAGCTCTCTTTTTTTAATGGATATGATTTAGAAGTTGCACATAACTTTGTTCACAGCCTACTGTCCAGAGCTTAGCCACTTAGCTGCACGGGAAACTAGGAAATGTACTATCTGCCTAAATGGCCATTTTGTAACTACTAAAACTCTGAGGATTAAGTGGCATTGACTTTATTGTTAGAAGTAGCATGGCAGGGAATTAACTAGGTTAAAGCAGGATAAAATTGAGTATTAATTGCCAGGAGGTATGTTAATAGCGGTGTTAAATTGTAGGTGTTTTTCTCTTTGGGTCTGTGACTTTCCAAAACTTTTGCTGAATACAGGTTACTTTTAGTGTAAGATATTGTATTTGATTTAAAAATATTAAGGACATTTCTATTGTCACTAAATTTCTCTTGTCATTGTAAATATATTTAAGATTGATTGTATGTTCAATTTTAAAGAAAACTAACCGTTTGTGGGAATAAGCATTTCGTAAGTGTCAGAAGGAACCTAGATCATGTGTTCTAAAATACCAGGTTTACATCATAAATTTAGTAGTAACCTATATTGCTTTTCTATTCATCCTTTAAACAAATAATGTATGATTTCTGAACTTAGCTAACTTTACCAGTTAGCTCTAAGCAGATGTTTTTTAGATTATTTGAAGTGAAGCAAGTGACTAATCATTTATAATAGCTACCGCTTTTTAATACCTTATTCTATAGCAGGCACTGTCTAGTGTCTAGCTACTTTAAATATATCACTTAATTAAATCCTCACAACAATCTTGCAAAGGTAGGTTTGAATACCTGCCTTTTACAGATGAGGACACTGAGGCTAGGAGGAAGGTGATTCCAAATAGACTCATAATGAATAGAAGTAACATTAGAAACCATGGTTGACACAGGTTCCACAGCCCGTGCTCTTCACAATTGAGGGACAAGACCCATCTTGTTTAATATAGTACTTTTCCTCCTAATCCTTAAAACTTTCTGGGAACAGTTTATAGTTCAACCCAGTGATTTTCAAACTTTAATAGTTTAATAGGTAATCTTAAGAAACCAACTATGTAAAACAAGCAAAAGCCAGGTCACCCTCATTAAACAGCACAGCTGTCCCAGAGCTTCACCTACAAAACTCATAATGCTCTAAGGAGCATGGTTTCAAACCAGTTTTGTATTTTTGTTTTTGGCTTTCTATTCCTCCTGAGTTTGTCTATAATTGAGTCCTAAGCCAAAAAGCAGTTGTGTTGTCCTGTCCAATATTTTAAAAACATTTAAGAGATATCTGATGTATGTCTGGCTTTTCATATCTTAATGAACAACTGTTAATTATTAAAATAATTCAAAATTTGAAAAAGATCTTCTCTTACAAACCTTTAAGTTACTGTCTGTAGTACTTTTACTGGTGCTTGTTTTGGTAGTTCTTGAAATAAATTATTTCATTTTTGTTTTAGATCTGGCAGAGGACGGAAATTAAGTGGAGACCAGATAACTTTGCCAACTACAGTTGATTATTCATCAGTTCCTAAACAGGTAGTTTTTTTTAAAGGTTGAATAAGTGTTCCAGAACCATATTTTTCAGACTATATTGCAGACCATTAGTATGTCATGAAATTAATTTGGTAGTCAGGGTCAGGATTTTTATTGTTATTGTTATAATTTTTTTATTCTAAAATTTTTATTTTGTTCTTTATTTTCTGTGTCTTTGCTGAGAGTTTCTATTTTTTTCCCGTTGGTTTCAAGAGTGTTTGCTATTGCTTATTGGAGCATTTTTAGAACTATTTTAAAGTCTTAGTCAGATAATTCCAACATTTATGTCATCTTGGGGTTGGTGTCTGTTGGTTGACTTTTTCCATTCAAGTTGAGATTTCTTGTTCTTTGTTTGCTGAATAATTTTGAGTTATTTCACGGACATTTTGAATATTATGTTTGAGACTCTATCTTATTTAAATCCTGTAAAGATTGTTGTTATTTGTTATTTTATCAAGCAATAAACCTGATTAAGCTTAGATTACAAGTTCCAGTCCTCCTCCTGTGGGCTGTAGTTTTAAACGTCAGTTTAATTTCCAAAACATTTTCTTTTGTTTTGTTTTATTGTTTGTTTCTTAATAGATAGAACAGAAAGTCTAACTCATAGTAAAAGTAATTTTTTAAACTTTTGACCTAGTTTTGGTATGTGATGTAAGATTGTACTTTCCTGTTCAAAAAAGTTTGAAAACCAATGTTTTATTTGTTTTGTTTTGTTTTGTGTTGGAGCGGGGTAGGTACATTAGGTTTTGAAAAACAGTGTTTTAGTAAACTCATTTTTCTAGTAAGTGAGAATGAAGTGTTAACTAGGCTACCCCTTTGTGGCTGACAATATTTATCATTTAAATTTAGGCAGATGTTGAAGAGTGGACCTCCTGGGATGAAGATGCACCCACAAGCGTAAAGATTGAAGGAGGGAATGGGAACGTGGCAGCACAACAAAATGCTTTAGAACAACTAGAACCCGACTATTTTAAGGACATGACACCAACTATAAGGAAAACCCAGAAAGTACGTTAAAGATTTGTGCTTTTGGAGATTAAACCATTGAATTGCTCTTCAGGTTCCTATAATTAAAATTAGACAGAATAAACTGTATTTGTTAGAAAGCCTGTTTCTAATTATCAGGGTTTTATTTTTGTGGTGTTATAGAGGTTTGTGTATTCAGGTGACCTAAACATAGATCTAGCAAGTTGTATCCATAAGTCTTAACATTATATCTAAGCATTTACAGAAATCCTACTGTATGTCCAATTCTAGACTCTAGTCTCTGCTATGGAGACTAAGCTGAGTAAGATACAGTTCTAAAACTTAAAAGAGTTCACAGCTTAGTGATATCTACAGAGTGGTAGCTAGTTTCCATTGTTTATAACCATAACAAAACCAGTGTAAGGCTTTGAGAACTTAGAGTAATTGTGTGGGTTTGTGTTAGTCATCCACTCTTTATTTTATCCCTTTTGAGTTGACTATGGCAGCCACTTAAATATGCAGGGAATTATTAGAAAAAGAACAATGGCTGAGTATTTTCCTTTTTAAAAATAATAGTACATGTACATTTAAAAAAAAGTTTTAATCAAAGAATATAAAACAGCTTATAATGAAAGACAGTAGACTTCTGCCCCATCACTCTTCATAGCCAGTTTGACTTCCCAGAAGCAGCCACTCATAAATTTTTCTGTTTGGGCTTCTAGTGTTTTTCATTGTATCTATATACAGTATTCTTATATTGCTATGTCTTGATTTACCAATAACAGGCATTGTCCACTGACTTCATACTATGCTAAATGGGGGTTTATTTCATACCACCCTTGCCCCTCTTCCCCTTCTTTCAAACATTATAATGTTATTATTCCAGTCTACTTCGTCAGTCATTTCTGCTATTTTGAAAAATTATACTTAAAGTTCCATTTCTTATTCAGTCAAGCATGGAAAATACTTCTTATCAATATATTTAATAAAATTGGGACATATTTTTTTCCCCAATTCCCTAATAGGGTTTTTCACCCTCTTTTACATCCCAGCCAGTTTTAGCTGTACATTTATTTTTATATTTTCAAAGCTGATAACATTTACATACTGTAATTGTTTTTGTTGAGTTATCCAAATGTCTCAGTGCTGAAAAGCATAAAGTTGCGTATTTTTCAAGGAGTTTTAAGCAAGTTTCTTAGTATTTTGGAAGTCTGTTGCTGCTCTTAATAGGAATCCAGTATATTACAATAGTACCTTGGTAAATTATTTAGAATGAAAATGCTTTTAAGCTACAGAGCTAACATTACTGGCCTGAAATAGTTATGTATTCACAGATATCAACATGCTTAGAGAACTGGTTATACTTTCTGGCAGGATAATGATACATGTTCTTATTTAATACGGGAACTGAAAAAGCCCAATTATGTTTTGGGGTCTAGGGAAAGAAGAAGGAGGAAGAGGAAAATGTATTGTTTTAGAAAAAAGTGAAATACAATTTTTCTTAGTATGCAACTGATTTGTGTGCCAATTGCCTGGGAATTTTGGTGCCCTTTATAGCCTTTAAAATTTTTTTTTTACATTGTCAATTTTAAGAGGAGCAAGGTAGAGCACATTTTAAAATATTTATAAAATGCTTTGGTCAGTTTGTCTATTTTTATATAGTGATGTATAAAATATTCCTGTAATTCTATTCTAATTAATCTTTCAGATCATTATTAAGAAGAGAGAACCATTAAATTTTGGCATCCCAGATGGTAGCACTGGTTTCTCTAGTAGATTAGCAGCTACACAAGATATGCCTTTTATTCATCAATCTGTAAGTATGTTAATGGTATCTAGGCAAGTTTTTTGTTTGTTTGTTTCTGTTTTCTTAGAGAAAAAATGAAAATGAATTGAACATAGTATCTGTATTTCTGTGACTTTGAAACACATTTAGCAGATCAAGAGAGGTTAATCTGGAATTTTACCAATCCTATCCTTTTATGACATTGTAATTACATCAGGTACTAAGATCAGAGTCCGTTGCACACATAAAAGATAGAGACAAAATGTAATTTAAAAATATGACTTTTAAAGAGATTATCACCAAAGGTTAACTTTAGTAGCAGGTTATTTTTATGTGAGTTATGAATTGTTTCCCTAGTAGAGTATATTTACATTTAAAATATAATTTAACTTAAAGTGCATTTGACCTAAATACAACACTTTTAAGGACAAAAGTAGTGAGGAAAGGGTATACTGGTTTTCAACCCTGGAACCTGTCAAAATCAGCTTTGAATTTTTTACAATACACTACTGTGTGCAGACCCCTCCCCAGATCCTGGCTTAAGTATGCTTTGATTGATTGATTATTGATTATATTAATTATCTATTATTGTATAACAACCCCACACTTAACGGCTTAAACAACAATAAACTTTTTTTTTTTAAATCAAAGTTTCTCCAGATCAGGAATCCAGGTGTGACTAAACTGAGTGGTTCTGGCTCAGGGTTTCTGTTCATTTCCAGACAAATTATTAGCTGGGCTGTGTTTATCTGAAGGCTTGGCTGAGATTGGAGGATTTATTTCAAAGTTGGCTCACTTACATGCCTGGCAGATTAATGCTGGTTGGTTGCATGAAGCCTCTGTTTCTTACCATGGACTCCTCCATAGGGCCGCTTGAGTTTCCTCACGATACGGTCACTGACTTTCCCAGAACAAATGATCCCTAAGAAAAAGAGCAGAGAACATGCAGGGGTGAAGCCACAATGCCTATTTACTACTTAGTCTTATAAGTAAAATACTGTCACCTCCACATTATCTTATTCATTGGAAGCTAGTCACTAAGTCCAGCTAACATGCAGGGAGAGAGGAGCTAAGCTCCACCTCTTGAAGAAGAGTGTCAGAGAATGTGCAGACAGTTTTAAACCACCGCTTCTATCTGTTCATCTTTCTATCTAATTTTTTTGTTTAAACTGCGCAGGAACTTCTGAGGCCCCTCTTCCCCGGTGCGGGGTCCATGTTTATGTACGTTAATTCATTGATCAAAAACTATTCCTACTAATGCCAAATGCCATGCTAGGTGCTGGTGATACAGTAGAAAGTAAGCAAAGGAGGCAGGTTCCTTGCCTCAGGAGTATGCATTCTAGTAGGGGAGGCACAAGGTTAAATAAGTTAACACACACATAAATACCACAAACTGTGATAACTCCTATACAGTTCCACGATGTTATGAGAGCATAATAGCTCCACGGATAGTTCTGTAAAAGAGCATCGCATCATGGTGTTTTGTTTTTCATTTTTCTGAATTTTAAACTTTATACAAGTTTGATCCATATTGGTAGAGTGGTTCAGACCTCCTCAGTACGTTAGTACATATTTGCCACCTAACTGTAATTATACGTTATTATAACACTAACATAGCTTATTAAAAAGTTGTAAATATGTAACCGCTTCCAGAGTCTGGTAGAGGTAAATAGGGTAGGTGGAGAATGTTCCCACATACTTTCCTTCCAAGCAGACGAAACAAAGGGGCATTGCCTAGGAGAGAATGGTAGCCTACTGTGCTTTGTTCTCTGCACCAAAAATACCTCACTACCCATTCCACAAATTAGGTTTTTCTTTTGAATTGCACATTCTTTCTGGAATTTATCATTTGTATTGTTGTGATAAATCTTTCAATACTAAGGATACTAACTTCTGTCATCTTTTACAATTTTCAGTTTGTTGTTGGCTTTATAATTTGGTTTTGATGTTTTTGGTGGGCAGATAGATTTAGTTTTTATGTAGCAAATCTATCCATTAGAACTTTTTCTTTTTTACTTAGAAGACCATCTCCACTAGAGGATCAGATAACACTCTTTTTTATGGTCTTAGGAGTTTCACTTTTTTTTATATCTAAATGTTTTATACACCAAAAATCAAACACCTCAGTAGAAAAATGGATAAATTTACAAATAAGAAATAGACATCATCTGGTAACATGTAGAGAAGTTTAATCTTATTAGTTCTTAAAGACATTCACAGTAAAATAACAAGACACCATTTTAAATCCTAACATGTTAGGGAAGATAGAAAAGAAGGAAACCTACCTGTTCTGACAACAGTACAAGGAAACAAGACTTCCGCCTCCTGCTGCCAGGAGAAGTTGGTATAACTTTTCAAGAGAATCATTTGTAATTGTTTCAGTGACTTTAAAAATCCTTTTCTTTGATTTAGCTATTTTACTTTTGGAAAGTTACATTAAACAAATAATCAGATATATTTCTTAGAAAATTTTTAACAGGGTGGTGTTTCATTTGTGGTTAGAAGCAGAAAATTCAACACATTTTATTTCATTTTTAGGTGTTAGTACTCAAAAGAGAATATAGTAAATCTGTTCACAGGTTGGTGCCATTTATTTTATGCACATAATCATTTCCCCACCAACCAAACATTCCAGAATGAGCATTTTCATTGGTTTGTGGAAGAAAAAGTAAACTCTTGGAGGTCTGGCATGGGGAACAGTGGAAGGTAGTGGCCAGCCTGTTGGTATTAGGGAAGTGGGACAGGCAAAAGGAAGCACAGCAGAGAAGAAATATTCCAGTGAAGAGTAAATTTTGCCTGGTTTGTCATTTTTCCCTGGGACCCAGACAGACTGTGCCACTGAAAAATCGAAATTATTTGTGCTTAAGTGGAGATGACTGTGCTAGTTTGGAAAATTTCCGTTCTTCCAGTTCGTCACCCCAGCACAGAGTAGTCCAGTCAAGCATCCCTAATCCAGTCTGGATCAGCCTGTCTCTTCTCTCTCCCCCTGCCCCCACTCCTTCTTCTCACTGAAAAGAGAGAAACGGAAGTGTTGTATTCTTGTCTGTCCCAAACTGCAGGAGGCACAAAAAGAAAAGAAAAGTTAATATAAGATTAATATCCTGGAATATCCTTCAACAAATAAAATAGGAAGAAAGCTGAACTTGCCCAGGACCGTTGAGTAACAAAGTTGTGTGTCTCCAGAAACCCCTCAGTTCAGGCAAAGCAGAGGCAGTCCTTTGGGCCTGTATGGGATGTGGCCAGGACGTGGAGAAGACACAGGGCAGTGGCAGTCTAAGTTATGCTTTAAAAGATACTCTTCTTGACTGCTGAGTGGAGAAAGGATGGCTCTTTACTATCGTAATTTTTTTTTTTCAGCCTGAATTAGGTGACTTGGATACCTGGCAGGAAAATACCAACGCATGGGAAGAAGAAGAAGATGCTGCCTGGCAGGCCGAGGAAGTTCTGAGGTATTTGAGTCATATTTACACTGCAGCTGAGTAGAAGAACTGGTTTTGTTCATGTTGCGTTTAAGGTCAAGAAAGCTCATTCTGCCAAATGTTAATATTTTTCTTCATTCTCATTTGAACCTTAGATAATATGGGATACTTCTTTGTATTTCAGACTACCTATGCTATTTTATATGATCAAAACCTCACAAAAAAACAAGAATTTAAAGCATTATAGCTATAAAAGAATAATCGTGATGAATGAGATCTTATATATATACACACACACAGAGATATATACACCATATTGCACTGTATGTTTTATACTTCATTCCCTGTAAAATATATTTCTCTCTTAAAATGTCCTACTGTGAAATGTGAGCCACAAGAATACATTTTCTCTGGGTCAGAAATGATACCTTTGGTTTTGTTTCCCTGTGGTCTAGCATAGTGCTGGCACTGCTCATTTGAATATAGCCGTGAATAGTGTATTGTATTGCACTCAACATTTGTATGTGGATCTCAATTGATGTACTCAGAAGCCCTGAAGTAGAAAGATAACAAGTCATGTACTTACTGCCCATTCTACAAAAACTATTATTCTGGAGGTTTTCAAATCTGTGTTTTGTTGTTTGTTCTTATTTCTCTGTCTTTGTGAGCAAGGAACTTAATTCTTGCTACTGCTGCATTGGGTCAAAGAGTAAAAAGAAAATTTACCTTAAGAGAGTTTATGACTATCATCACTAATGAAAACTCAGATAGTTAAATGTATCTAAATTACTTTTCCACTTTTAAAGATGTTATAGTAAAATACAGTGATTTTTTAAAATTTTTTTTGTAATAGGGATAGAAAATGAATTACCCTTTATCTGATTCTTAAAACAATCTGTATTTTTGTGTTTTCCTTTCTTGTCTTTACCAATAAGTTGCAATTACCTTGAACAACCAACAGAGGGTGCAGTTAAATAACTGGGAGTTAAGGCTGACCTTTTCTTATTTTGAGCATTTTTTTCTTTGACAGGAAGGTGTCATGTTTTAAAAGTCAGTAAAGTTATAAGAGTTTTAACTGTTTAGTTTCTATTTGATCATTATTCAATATAAAGGAGATGTTTTTAAAATTGTAAACAGTAACATGTATGAATCATCAAAGAAGATGTCACTTTTTTTTTTTTACTCTTTTTTTTGGATAATTCATAGCTAAAGAAGTCTGAGTATTTTAGAATATTTTGGGGAATCTAGTGATGATTAGTGTCATCAACCACAAGGGTGAAGGAAGGGGCTATTTATTTTGAATCCAGTAATGTTAGTAACAGCACTGTAGAGTTTATGAGTTCACAAGGAGCTGAACGTTCACTGTGAAAAATCCTTCTCTTTTCTACCCTATACTCTTGCAGCTGGAACAAAACGAGACCAAAAAACTCAAACTTAGGGCTTGATGATAGAACAGACTGGGAGAGGGAGCCTCTTAGTAATAGATGTGCATCATGCTGCAAGTTGCATAAGCAGAGCTGGAGACACGTGGAGGCTTCCATACGTTGTTACCGCCCCCAGAAGAACCCTGAGAATTTTTAAAGTGTATCCATAATCCAATTCACTAACTTGTCCTGTTTCCCACTGCCACTATAAGTGCTACCAGTGCTGTGGTCAGTATCACTGAGGAAAAAGATTCTGGTTCCTTAGTGATCCCAGACATGTATCTGGACAGGAAAAATATATTTTGTCTGCAGCAATGTCTAAGTTGCTTCTTGTGCCAGGAATATTAACTGTTGATATTTATATTTCAGCTAGTAACCAGGTCAAAACTTGATTATCTTATTTCTAACCTAGCCAGCCCTTTATAATTCTTTTTCTCTCTCCTTTTTTGACACTGATATTTTGGCATTTTTATTGCAAATTATCAGTTTTACTTGAAAGTGAGCAGAGCTAGTGAAAAGTAGATTTTTTTGAACTATTCTTTTGAAACTTTAGTTCATTGATGGTGATGGTCAAAATGTTGCCTAAAATAAATCTCTCTACCTTCTTGAATTTTGGTCATCTATACTTCTGCTTACACCCAGTTTTTTCTTTTCCATTTTGGTTTATTACAGGGTATTGAATAGTTCCCTGTGCTATACAGTAGCCTTATTACTTATCTATTTTATATAGATGTATAGTTTGTATCTGCTAATCCCAAGTCCTAATTTATCCTCCCCACCCCCTTTTCCCTTTCATAACCATAAGTTTCCTTTCTATGTCTGTGAGTCTCTTTCTGTTTTATAAATAAGGTCATTTGTGTCATATTTTAGATTCCACATATAAGTGATATCATATGGTATTTTTCTTTCTCTTTCTTACTTACTTCATTTAGTATAATAATCTCTAGGTCCATCCATGTTGCTGTAAATGGCATTATTTCATTCTTTTTATGACTGAGTAGTATTCCATTGTGTGTGTGTGTGTGTGTGTGTGTGTGTGTGTGTGTGTG